ATAGCGTTAAGGCGTGATGTCCGGGTGGGAGGAAGATATTGGTGAGCATAGGTTACGGTGGCGGAGGGTGAGTTAAGGGGGCTGAGAGATATTCTTCCGGTTGGTGGAGAGTTGTTTTGGCACGATGTGAGCTATAGGGATGATGGCGGTGGTGTAGAGACCGTCAGGGTAGGTGAGTCGTAGCGCAGTGAGGTGTAGAACACAAAAATACGCGGATTGAGGGCAGATCAGAGTGCGTACGTCGTTAAGCGAGGGATGTCGTCTCCCTGCGAGCATGGTGTGTGATGTCGCACTGGTTGAGAACGGATATCCTCTGTGGTGCGGAGTCACTCGCTCGAATACCACGCGAAGCCAGGCGTCGACGTCTCGAGAATGAGTGAACTGTGTGATGGACTGCTCGGATGAGTGTTGTGAGGATGTAACGTACGTCTGGTCGTTGTAGGGGGTTCTCAGAAAGGGCGAGCGCCATGAGCTGCTCCATGGGCGGCAGGAGATGAGCGCTTTGCGAGGTGCGCTAGGCAGCCAGCCTCAGGCGAGCGGGAGTCCTTCATTTACATATATGGGAAGGATGAACAGGGGTGTGCTGGATAGAGTGAGATGGTTGTGGATGCGATAGGCACTGCAGTAGCTGTTTAAGCTGCGGGTGAGCGCCATCTTGGCGCCGGCGTTCTCAAATTCAGGTGACTAAGCGATGGGAAGTCGTTGTACGATGTGATCGTACGAGGAAGTGTAAGGGGAGAGAGGATGTAGTGGGCGAGTATGTGCCGGCAGGCAGTAAGGGGCCAGACGGTATCTCGCGTGCTGTAGGCACACGGTCGGCACGACCGGGGGTTAGAGATGTTTTGGCCATCAGGCATGGGTGGTACGGTACTATGTTTCACGGCAGACGGAGGGTGGCCGCGCAGCGGGACGCGGGATGCACGCGTGGGCCCTTGGAATTTTCTGCGTAAAGCCAGGCTGTTCTGAAAGGAAAAGGAGTGCCGTGAGGGAGTTTTTAATATGAGCAATTCCATGGTAACATGTGGTACAATAATCTTTAATATATTATTTTTCTTTTGTTATTGAAATTTATTTCTTATTTCACTACGTCACACTATGTTCTCCGAGTGCGCTGTAGTTATATGTAGTACTGACATAATTCTCAGTCGGTGGCTAGGGCTCATATTACGAGGGTACACACGGATTGCTGTTTGCTACTAGATAATGTTTGCTACTAGATAAAACTCTCGTGAGTTACATATTTCGTTATTCAATTCAAACACACAGCCGCCACAACTACGCGTTGGAGGGCGGCTGGAGGACCTTGTCATCCCACCAACATTTATGATCTGTTATTCTTCAGTCTGTGCGGCCCAAACACTGCGGACGAGGCTCTCCTTCCTATTCGGACGCGGGCGGCTCTTTTATGACACTACCTGGAACGTTCCCCCAAGCTCTCACGCGGAAGCGTCGCTGCGGTCCAAAGACTCTCCGAATCCGCATGTACTTTCCTGGTGTCCTTGCATTACTGTATGATGTGGGAATCGTATGCAAAATATGCACATAAATAATTCAGATACTTTCTAAAGTGTTACATTGGAACTCCATGCTTATATGTAATACTATTAATAATTGAAAAGGAATAAGTCATTTAATAAACGGGGCTGTTTTATGAGTATGTCTCCATAAATTACTGTTTTTTATGTAAATTTGAATATTTCATGTACTGTAAAGGGTTTTAAAACTCTTTTGGGAAATACTATGTTGTTAATCTGGGCTTCAGTGTATGACGTGAAACACACAGTTTAAAATATGAATAGCAATATCATATACTCATCCCCGCTGTAAAAGGTACAATATTATGTTTCAATGAATTTGAAGGGTGTTAAAACGCTAACTGTTAATTTCCGGAATCTTCTGAAAGTACAAGTATAATAAACGGGTAAATGTAAATTAATGCAAGTTGTATGACGTCTCTTGAATGCTATAAATAGGGTTTGGAAAATTTAGTTATTTGTCAATCAATCTTGAGCAGTTTCTGAAATAACTATAAAGTGGTCTCGCACGACTGTCAGACGGCAATAAAGAAGAAATAAGGGCGAACAAAACTGTTCGAAGAGTTTGCTTCTCTTTTTTGCCTGTCACGTACACGTCGTGTATAACGGGGAGCAATATAACGTAAAAAAGGGAAAAGTTATTTATGTGCGGCCGAAAAGAAAGGCACTTTTCGGCAGACAAAATTTCATTTTAGAGCCCTGATAACGAAAATGTGGATAAATCCAGTTGCTAAATTGCGAAACAATCCTGTAACATGTGATGTAGCCAGAATCACTGTTTTGTGGGTCCTTGATATCGAAAAAAACAATTCACAGCGAAACGTCTGTCTGTTCTTCCGTTCGTCTGTGAACACCACTACCGGCTAAACCATATGTAGGATTTTTTCCCAAATTGAAGACGCCCCTGTCCATCTGACTCGAGTTAAAGCTTTGGGATTTTGAAACGCATTCTTTCAAATGTGTACTTTACATGAAACGGATGTTTTCATAATTTTCTCAAAAAGCGGTTCCAAATTTTGACTAAAAATTTCTAGAGAATAGAGTAAAATACTCTTAAATAGGTGACATAGGTAAGATTTTCACGTTTAACTCTGAATTTTGCAAAATTGCAATAGTTTGTACCTTTTCAACGTTTTTCTACAACAACAAAATTGAAGATAATGATTTATCCTTTAAATAAAATTTGTTCTCCATAATGATATCTTTCATTAAGGTTAAATACATTGTTTTGAAATTCATAATAGGTTTCGCGCAATTTTGCGCACAAGATGTACAATTTAAAAAATAATAAAACAAGATTTTCTCGCAAACGTCTCCAACATCTTTCTTTAAACTTTTGGTAGTGCTAAATGTACTCTATGAGATGACATAAAGATCAGTTTGCTCTATTTTTGTGTTTTCAAAACTTACAAAAATTTAATTTGTTTGACTTGTCTCTCACGTCGCTACTATTTACATAAGCGACAATTTATTCACGCTATTTTATTTATGAGTCCATGTGCTTTAAATAGTCATACAAAGTATCTGAAAACGTCAACCGTTTTCTGTAAAAAGTAGTTCAAAATTCCGCATTTTCATATACGCTCAAGCACCATTTTCTAAAAACGCTCCATATTTTTCTTCACATTTTCGTATGGATAGTGCCAATTAAACTGCAAATTAAACCATTTTTCTGTATTTTTTCGGTTAAAAAAATTACTCAAATGTATACAAAGATTACACAAAGAGACTTTTTTGAAATGTCTCTCACGGCGTTAATATACACATTTCCAGCAAATTGAAAAAAAATATATTGGTGAGTAGATGTGCTTCAAATGGCTTCTAATGAAGATTTTCAAAAACTGAAAAATGGTCTGTAAAAAAGAGCTTAAAATATTGAAATTTTTGTAGCGCGTAAATGCCATTTCTTTTAAAACGTCACCAAAAACTTTGAATTTTTACTGTTTTTTACAATCTTTTATAATTCCGTTCTACTATTAGGAAACCAAAAAAGTAAGAAAATGTCAGAATAATGACAGCTGGCGATTGATGGCAGCTGGCATGACTGTGTGGCAAGTCAGAATAGCTAAGCGAAACCAAAGGAAATAGAACTCTTACATGGGAAAGTCTATGCCATTGTGTTGCACCACTAGTTCTATTCTGATCGCCAAACAAATGTCGCGGACGATAGATGACAGTGAGGTATCCAAAGGTTTAGAGCCCACATGCCCACCTCCTTGGATATAGAAGTAGTTAACGACTTTTTTCGATTTTTCTCTACGTTTTACCCGTCCTCAGACAATAACTATCATATCGCACATGACGTAGAATAGTGATCCAACAAAAAATGGCGTTCTTTTCAGTTCTACTCAAAACTATAACATTCATGAAATTATTGACATACTAATCTATTGATGTGTTCAATGTTTCCTACGCAACTAGCTTGTACAACTAATCTTACTAATCCCATATTGTTGATTGAAATTTGTTTTGAATAAAGGTAGAGGTTACTAACAATTACCCAATTTGGATTATTTATTTCCTACTTATTCAATTGCATTCCAGAGAGTTGAATATAATACTACAGAAACATAAAGACAAGATGCCAGCATTTAATTGACATTGAAGTTGCCCATTTTTGAATTATCACAAGAAGCCGCAGTGTTGGTAAAACACCAGCAGAATACAGGCCAACCCACAAGTGACATCTCCAGATGTTATGTATTTCTTTTCTCCATTAAGTTTGGCCGTCTGGAAATACCTTGGCTACGTCTGTGTTATAAATACACAGTTAAAAGATTTTGATCAGTTCTCTGAGTTCTGATTGGATGTTGTTAACTCTTTATTACACGATGAAGTATTAATTGCATGTATAACTCAAACATAGTGTTAATCAACGAATTGTCATGAAAATAATGACCATATTTTGTTAACTAAACAAAAAATATATTTAATTTTTTGGGGGGGAAATAAAAAGTACTAAATTCTCTAATTGGTTTGCTGTGATTGTGCGGTACTGGTTGTGCCAGATTGACACACATCTTGAGAATCGTATAATCATTCAAATCGGATTATCAAATTCTCAAAAGTTCACAAGAAAATAAATGGGACTGCAGACCTCATCAACTTGAAAAAACTTACTTGGAACTTAAATTTTGTATTGAATTTAATCATTTAATGTCATCTGGCAAGATGTAGTAAAATAATGGACATGTATTGTGTGTGAATGTTTTTTAGTAAGCTGCTGATACTGAACAATTCATAATGGATATTACACACCTAGGACAATGGTGTAAGCACCAAGTGTCCCGTTGTGCACCGAGGGCTACTACATTCATATGTGCAATGATACAGTGGTGTGACACTAGATAGGCCACATCTGGTCTTAATTCTAATTCCATACGGTAGCCAATCAGAGTTCAGAGCGACACCAAATACATCTGTACAACACCAACTCGCTCAAGCGGAGAATATGTGAACTACTTATTCATTTTGTTCATTCATTCCTATCGTTGTATATTCACATGCTGTTCGTAGGGCTGTTAATGCAATATTGCAGTCAGTGAATTAGAGAAATGAAGTGATTTACCGCTGTTTGAAGTCTCAAGCGTGCATTTTGGCTTCGAGAAGATGATGGGTGCGTAACAAATAGTGGAATTTTTTTAATGTTCATGTTCAGTTGCAGATCCCTTGTTTGGACCCAGCGAGGTGACACCCACTGCAGGGTGTAATTGGTAAGACTTTTTTAATAGAATATTACTGGAATAAAGTTTTAATAGAATATATTTTTATAGTTTCAATAGAATATATAGTTTAATGGGAGGCTATGATACCAGCATTTTTTAATTTTCAGATCCTTGTACACAAGTTGCTTTACAAACTGGAAATGGTAAGTCTCTTGTATGTTTGTAAAATGCAAAAAGAAGCATGCTATTGAAAGCATAATGTATTGGCAATAATTTGTTGTTTAATTCAGGTTCTAGTGCTGTTGAACATGCTGCTACAGCAAGTGCAGCAGATGCTTATTCTAGCCATGTGAAAGGTAAATATTTGCTCTAATCTTTAAGAATCTCAATTATTACTTTGTTGTATTTATTGAAGATGGGATAGATTTCAAGTTTGTCTTCATTTTCAGATCTTTTTCACCCATGTGAGGTGTCACATCAAGTTTTTATGGACGTTTCTCATGGTATGTTCCTTTCAATATACAGTTATTAGTGCCAATTGAGGGCAAATTATAGTAAACAAAATCTCTTTTTTTGGTGATTACAGATCCTTGTACTTCTGGACAGGTGCAAGAAGCCATTCTGGGAGATTTATCTGCGCCTTCGGTGTGAGGTAAGTGCAAGATATTCCTGTGCTTTCTAATTTCGTAATTCTAGATGGTGAATTAAAAGAAACATCTTTCTTTTTGATACAGATTTGTTTTCAGAACATTTATTTGATGACCTTTGATGATTCATTTGATGATTTTTCTTAACATCATTTTTGCTTTTCAGATCCTCTTCCAGAGATGGCTTCTGAAGCATGCATATTAGACCCTACGAGTTTGACCGTAAGTGACTTTAAATTAATGTTCACTTTGAGGAGTCGGAACTCAGAGAGATAATTTTCAAGAATTATTGTTATGTGCAGTGAATAACTTGCTTCATTGTGCAGAAAGTTTCTGAACATATTTCTTTTACGCTGACAGTTTATTAAGGTATGAACAACGAAAGTTTTAAAATCAGTGTGTATTCTGTCATTGGGTAGAGATCCATTATATAAACTGTATTTTCCACATCTGATTTGGAAAGTTCTAATTAAATAATATTTAAAGGTAAAATTAATTCTGTAAATCATGATCATTTTCTCAATTTTGTAATGCCTCTTGCTATGTTAAGACACTTTATTTGAATATTATGAATACAAAGGTTTTGAGTTTCTGTTTCAGAGGCTATTTTCATGCAATTTTAGAATGTCTTTAATGTCTAGTCTGCAATTTGTTTCTTTCTTATTAGTATTAATTTTTATTATTAGTATTGATATAAGTTGCTTATAAATTGTTATACTGTTCTGACAATGATAGTTTCCTATGACAAACACAATCTTGATTCAATTTATATTCTAGTATGTGTGTATCATTGTGTTTTGTTCATCCTCATGCCAATTACATTCTGGATTTGAATGCTGAAACTTATTAGATTGTGAATTGTTGTGAGTCGTGAATGCAATGCTTCATTCTATAGCTCAGTTATTAGGACATCTGCCTAGTTATCACAAGGACCCGGGCTTGGCTCCTGGTGCAATCATATATTTGCACTTTGAGAATCCATTTTCAGAATTTAATTGTAGTGCATAAGCATTGATGGAATTCCACTATTTGTTAATCATTGTTTTAAAGGTGAATGTACTTTCACAGTGAATCCCATTATAAAAAAGCCAGGCTCTGAACTGTGCATGTGTGAGATTAGCATGGGTAAATAAAATAATTTTGTCAAATATTTATTGACTAGTGAAAAACATTTTTAGGTTGCAACTAGTAAAAGCGGTTATTTCAAGGCATGCAGAGCATGCTAAAAGCTCAATTTTTTGCACTACTGCTAAAAGTGGGACGAGACACAAATGTTCTGATAAAACTTTGAAAGCAACAAAGAAAACAAAATACGTTCATGTGACCTAATCAGATAATATTGATCTTAATGTAACAGAAAATAATTATGTAATTCGTGTTCTTAATGGCTTAAGTAATTCGCAAAATAAAATGGCACTTTTACCCCTTGTATCATAACTATTTATTTTACCTGGGCAAATGTGCGATAGTATTTTCATTTGTTTCTTTTCAATTCTGTTCTTATTGTTTATTCATAATACTGTAGAAATAATAATGTAGTAGTAATGTAGTATAGTATGTAGTATAGTAGTAGTATGTAGTAGAAATAATATAGTATTAATTTGACATATCTACAAGCAAATACTAAAGTTGCAATTATGTAGGTGTGTTGTTTATTACTTTCTGTAGTTCAAAATTGTTATTACTAATGAAATTATGAAATTGTATAATATAAATATGCTGAATAAATACTAGATTTTACTACCCTAATTTGACTTTTTTTCTTCCATAAAATCCTTATTAATATTATTGTAATTTTTAAAATAAATTAAGGCGTTGATAGTATGGGAGTGAAATTTTAAAGTTCCCGCGTCACTGGTTAATTTCAAATTTACCGGTTACTTCTTCGCTATTGGCTGTCCGTTTACCCAATAGAAATTATACAGAACAATGTAGCGGCACCGGAAGTTGGGCAACTAAGGCTTTTCCTTTTAACATTGAGTGCCGTCTCTGATATATACTCTTTGCAATGATACAGAACCGAAATGGTCCTAGAGATTACGACTTGCGGTTCTGGAAGATTCAAGGAATTCGTTACTGCTTGTGTCTCCAATGGAGTGGCATTAACATATCACGGAAACCCTACTAGGCCTCTTAGATGCAGATAAATAACAGACAAGGGAATGGGGCAAAATCACCAGGTAGTTTCGATTCAAAATAATAAGGAAGTAAATAGTACGAGTAAGTCTGTTCCTTTTTTAACACCATTAATTTTCTTTTGCAAAAATAAATTACTCTCTTGTTACAGCTCGTCCTAGTAGTTACGTTTTTTGCACTAGAAGCAGGCGATACACTTCCCACAAATATTTTTAAAACGAATAGATCAGAAATACATTATGATCCACCTGTTTAGAAATATTAAATATTATATTTTTTCAACCATGCAGTTTATAAATAATAAAATAAATTGAAAATTCTTGCGGTTATATTGGTAACAGCCCTGCTGCTCACTCTTTGGAAAAGCGGTAGCCAATCGCTGCACCGCCTCCTGCTCTGCCCAGCGCTCGAACCCGCCCAACGCTCGCTCATTTCGTGTCGGGTTGTGGAGAGGTTATTCGTGATTGTTCGCGAAGTGACTGTCGTTAGATTCTTTTGTTAGTGTTCGTAGTTTCCTGAACAAATACGTGTGACGTAAATACGATATACATAGCAAATTGAAAGCCGAATAATATTTCTGTAAAGAGGGTGAGAAAGAAGATTTAAATAAAAAATCCATAACTACATATATTCCTGTGAAGTGTCGCGTGGAAAGTTAAGTAGCATTGATGCAGTTCTTTGATAAGTGATTTTAAGAATCACAGGTATACAGTGTTGTGAAGTGATGGGTGAGCTCTGAAGAATTGTGGAAATCGTGCCTGGTGCGCAAGTGGTAGGGCTCAAATGAGCCGTTGCGTGGTTAAGAAATGCGTGTGTAGGAAAAGTGCTTGTGGAACATCAGAACTGTGGTGAAGTACTTTTGTGCTTCGTCACTGGACTTATCACCGTGGCCTTGGTCTTCACGACGCCATCTCTTCTCGTCGTTCCTAAATTTCCCATGTTCCCGCCAGGTGGTTAGAAAAACGTTTAAAATCTGGAAAGCGTATTTGCACTCGTAAGGTCTAATACTGATTAATCAAATTTAAAGAAGTTTCTTTTCATAGTCATATGTGCAAACCTTAATAAAAACTGTAATAGATAAAATATGTACGCAAATTAAAAGGGCCAACATTGTGCATTTTAAAACAGTGAAATTATCAATCGTTTAAAACATAACATTATAACATTATCCTAGTTTTTCATTTTTTTGAATTAGAAAATATTTGGCAGTGTAGTTTGAAAGAATTTTAATTCCCTGAACATCATTGATCAGAGACTACAAGCACCTCAAATTCGAACTAGAAATGCAGAAACTAGATTTGATTCAATAGGTCAGGATTTAAGAAAATAATAAATTACTAGGTTTATTAGAACATTTGAGTTTTATTTTCACTCAGAATTGAGCAGGGATAACGGTCTACAGTTGTTACAGTAGGGTAGAGTAGGTTCCAAACCACAGTGCAGGGTAGCATAGCACCCCTGGCAGAAGAAGTGCAACGCTTTGGCCTGACGCCGGTGGAAACAGGAATCGGTGAGTGTTCTGGGTGGAGTCCGTCCCGTCCCGTCCAGTCCAGTCCAGTCCAGTCCAGTCCCGTCCAGTCCCGTCCAGTTCCTCGTCATATGCCCTGTGCCCTTGGCAGCGCCCGCGGCAGCCTAAAGGCGAGGCCGTTTGCGTTCCTTCTCCCGACTGTACGACGGATGACGCAGGTCTAGTCACACACAGGCAAACGTACTACGATAAAGAGAAATGAGAAAAGTAAATATAAACAGGGAATTAAACGGCACAGTATATATGCTGAGTAGAAACTAGTTTCCTTACATGCACAAATTTTCTGTGGGGAAGGGATAATTCTTCCTCGTGCAGTCATCGGCTCCGCTCAGATAATGTTAGAAGGGGTATTTGTCCGCCTTTAGTTTAATATATTGCTGGGTTACTGCAGTCTCGTTTTCTGAAATGTACTTATTTTATCAACATTGAGTAAATTTAAATGAATTGTTATTGAAGGTTATAGTTAATGTAACATTGTTGAACTTTAATTTGTGTTAATAAATATTAATTTTTAATAACATAAACAAAATATCAAGAATATATAAGGCCATTTTCGCTTGAATTTTATTTAAATTTAAAGAAAAATGATTGTTCTATAAATGTTGCTTGGAATATAAAATGATTACCTAGTTCAATATTAGGATGGGCAAATGTAGGAAAGAGGCTGCAGATCCCGGATAGTCTGTAAGAAGACTGTTTGCTTAGCCATATTATGGGATCCACTCCTGTGCTGGATAACCGCTATTGTATGCTATGCATTCAGTCATAGAGAAATTGGGGGACCTTGTCTGGGCGGGAAACTTATTGAGCTGCAAGATGGCATTACACCTCGCAATTTGCATTGATGTGAACGGCAGGTGACCTCCCTCTGGACTATAGAGTTCGTAGGTTGGTGTTCAGCAGGGAAGGCCACATGCCCAACTGTTGGTTTAGGAGGGACACGCCTACAAGGCCTACAGGGCAGGGTGGGTAGGTTAAGTGCTAGGGATGTGTTCCAATTCCATGTTGTATTAAATGTGCTTTCAAATGTTTACGACGTTGCTGTACATAATTCTTGCAAGGTAAAAGATAAATAAAAATACATATTGAATTGGAATACGCCTTCCTATCTTAAGGAAAACTGAAGGGCTGCCCATCGTTCAGTCATCCTTAAGTGGGAAACGTTAGTTGGCGGACAGCACACTTCAAACAGGGTGGTATTTTTTCGTAACTACTATAGATCTATGTGTACATTTTAATGAAATAATCAAATTAAGTTTTCCTTACAGGATCATAAGTCCGCGTGAGACGTGGCAAAATAAAAATTGCAAAGCCCATGTGTATACATGGCAAGAATACATAAATTTAAATTAATGTGAATAAAGCTATTTTTTAAAAAGTTTCTTGAACACTTCAATATAGACCAAATTAACCAACACAATAAATTGTCGATATATAACTGTTCTAACAGTTCTTACTTTGTTCTAATTCTGCTTGTTTTTCAGCTGTAATTCTGCTTATTTTAGCTCTAATTCTTCCTTTTCAGCATCATGGTATGTTTTAACATGTTTGAAATAACTGTAAGATATGTGGAAAAAATGCAATAAAGGAAAAACGATAAACTTTATACCTAAATTATTTCCTTACTCGTGCGCTGGCGAATAATTAATCAATACCATTTA